CAGGTGTTTCTCTGCTGTGTTAGCAAATAGTAGGATTTCGTCAATGTAGACCCATACAAAGTCATGTAGGTAGTCTCCTAATAGGTCTTCCATTATGTGCATGAAGGCAGTGGGTGCATCCTTGTCACCTTGCAATATGACTCTACATATCATTGTTCTGAATGGTGATTTGAACAAGTTATTTCTTTCATCTCCGAGGTTGACTCTTGTTTGGAAATATACATTGCGGAGGTCAATCTTGCTTCAGAACTTCTTCCTTCCTATAGGATTCAGGATATCATGTTACTGGGGTATTGAGGGGATGTCTTTGATTACCAGGTCGTTAGGTCACATAAGGTCAACTAGAGGTCTAATACCCACTGCGTCTTTTTTGGGTTGTACAAATATAGGGGCTACTCCCGTAACCACCTGAGGGTAGACGACCCCTTGGTCCAACTGTGTTTGGATCCATTTCTGTAATTGTGATTTATATACTTCTGGGACTCAGTAGGGAGATTCATTGTTGATTTGTGATCCAGGGTTTAGTTGTACTCAGTGGTTGATTTTTCAAGGTGGTAGTAAGGGGTCCAGTATTTCATCTCGGAAGATATCGCTGAATTCTTCTATAATGGTTTGCCCACTCTAGGCTACTGCTGACCTGTGTTCAGTGCTTATTGGCTTGTATGATACCTTTACCTTCTTGTTAGGGAGGGTAACCATCATTTCACCACAGCTGGCGGTCCTCCTATGATGTCTTATGAATAGTATGTCAAGGAGTACATCATATTTGGTGACATTTCCGCTTAACATCCTGTTGTTTGGGAACTTTGCCTTCCCTATTTCACACTTGATGGTTGCTTGGCTATCACTAGTTGACCAAGATCCCTTCCCGGCCATATTAAGTATTACCGTGTATTGGGTAGGTTGAGTTTTTATGCCATGGATTGCTACAAAGGGATTGCTCATGATGTCCAAGTCTATTGTTCCTGTATCAAATAGGACTTTTGTAGGGAAACCAGTTATTTCTACAATACCTTGCAATGATTGGAAGAGGATTATTTTTGTAGCTGCAGGAGTGGTTCTAAAACAGTTGATTGTTGCTGTTACTGAATTTATATTGATTTCCTCAAAAGTGCTTTTTCCTTCATCTTCAAGGAGGTTGGTGGTGACTTCCTTTTATATGAGTTTGTTTTTGGGTTTCGTTGCATAGCAGTCTTTAGTGTAGTGGCCCTTCTTTGCATATTTAAAATCTTGGTTGTTCTCTTTTCCCTGTCGCTGGCACTGGGTGTTCCTTGAGTTGGATATTTCCTTCAGTCTTGAGCTCTTGGTAGGACTGTACCCTTGTTGCTTTCTTTCCTTAGGTTGGCAGATGTTGTAGGTATTTGTGTCTTATAGGATGGTGTTATATCTTTCCGCTCATTTGATTATTGCGTAGATATCGTCAGTGGGTGCCTCATGTGGTTCTACCATCTGCCGTAGTTTTCTGTACGTACCTTCATGGAATCATTTCTTGAGAGTGTATTCTGTTACCGCATCTGCCAGTAATCTGGTGTAATACATGAGGAGTGGTTTAGCTTTTTTCGCAATTCTGTCAATCTTGTTTCCTCGTGCCTGACATCGGTCCTTGAATTTTCCGAATCGTTGCTCCGTATTGTGGGAGGATTGGAACTGGTCTGGAAGGGAATTGCCTATTGTTATGGCCCTGACCTGGTCTGGGTCTGGGTATCCTTTTATGCATTATTGTGAGGTTTCTCTGGCGTCGTCAGTACAGAATGCTCCAGTGTATATTCCTCATCTATAGTCGGTCATTGATATTTCATATATTGACTGGTATTGTTGTACACCCATATGCTATCGGTCGAACGCTTCCTCTTTAAGGTCTTGTCCTTTCTGGAAGAAAGTCTTGAATTGTGGTACCTTCATTTTAGGTTTTTACCAGGTTCCTTCTACTGGTGGATTGACTGGTCCTGCCCAAAGTGCCGGAATCCCTTAGTTGGACATGCTTCCGTCATCTTCGGAAGAGGCACTAGGTAGAGGAGGTGACGGTATTTGTGCTCCTGGTTTGGGTTCTTTCGCATGTGATTCTGGGTATTCGTTAGGCATTATGCCAGAGGCTGGGTTCTGCCCCTTCTTTCGGGCTAAACCTTCTCGTGGGATCTCATGCCCACTTCCAGTGATAAGTCGATGTATATCACACTTGTTTCGGCACAGGAGCCCACTGTTGTAGTCAGCCGCTTCAGCCTGTACTGTTCCATTGCCGAATCTGTGTAGATTGATTAAGACCTGATTTGTCAGACTTTCACAACTCGTGCAGGATAAAAAGATGTACCCTGTTCATACCGGGGTACTAGTCATATAGTCACATACAATATGAGTGGGATGCTCTCCCTCCGGACAGTAATGATCCACGGGTCACGAAGGCAGGCTTCAGTGGCATAATAGGAGAATAGAGATAATTCTTCAACTCAGTATATTAAAGATATGATCCATCGAAGTCTGCCGTTTTCAGGGCGCAAGATGGCAGGCATTTTAAGTACATATGTTGAAGTACAATCATGAATTCAGACTCATGTTCTTACTCAATCAAACCATAAAAATCAACAAGTATCAACTGATACTTAACACAAAACATAAAACAAACCAAGTATCAAGCAATACTTAAACACAACATAAAATAAATTAAGTAAGCACCAGCTCCGGTTACAGAGATAGCCCAAATCAAGGACAACAGAATCCTCCCCGATGACTCCCACAGGACAGTTCGCTACATAGAATTCTCCTATGATGATCGAAGGATCGCTGTTAGGATCGCCATTAGGATTGCGATCGCTAGGAACGATTTCCTATTCATCAAGTTAGCTAATTAGTACCACCACTAGTAGTAGTAGATATCTGACTGAGCCTTACATAGAGTTTACTACAGGAGTCCCCATTAGGATTAGCTCATTTGATTTACAAATGAGCCCTGATCTGGTTCCCCAGGCAGTAGCAGAATTTGAGTTGAATTATGATGTGCACTGGGCCTCCAGTACCTTCTTGCCATAGTGAAGCATCTCTGTTTTGTTGTTCACCTGCCTCACTCCATCCAGACTCCAAAACAACTGCGGAGAATGCTGCCTGTATTGTCCAGTTGGGTCTGTCAAGGGGTACAAAAGTCAAATCCGCCTCTTTAATGGAATTTATACATTGCCCGATCAAGTTGTTGTACTCTTGTAAATCGCATTAGCTATATTTCTGCAATCTGATGGGACACATTTGGCAACCCACCAGGGAAACCAGTAATTCTGATCGTTCGATCCCAGATATGTGGAATAATTCCTTGTTGCACTGCCTTCACAATTATTGCAAGAACCCATGTACCAGAACTCTCATGCAATGGTGAGAGCATGGTCACTTTGACCATGTTATCTGCCACAAACCACTGGAGGCTGTAACCATATGTTAGCAGTGCAGCAGGTACAAAAAGGGTGAAAGGTATGGAGTAAGTAGGTTACCCAAAGGAGTATTGCTCCAGGTAATTTGTGCGATGCTGCGTGGCTTGAAGGATGTGAGCATGGTCTTCAGGATCCATGTCATGAAACATTCCGTAGTCATGGCCATGTGTAGCATTTGTTATGGGGCCTCCGGGGCCCCCAAAACTGCGGGTCCCTGCCCACATTCGCCGCCCCACCACGGCATTTGGCCCGGGGCGGGGCCTATTTTCTCCTCCATTCCCTCCCCAGCCCAATACGGCCCCCCGCCCTGGCCAACCCCTGTACAGCGCCCCGCTATTGCCCCCACCAAATTATATAGTTGGGAGCATAATTGGGGTCGCCCGGTAGCCCGCATGAGGGAGGCGGGGCAGGGAGAACTTGCGGAAACCCGCTCCGCCCCGCCCCATAACGAACACTCGCCACACTTCTTAATTGCATCGGTAATTTCTTTGAATAGGGCAGCCGTCATGATTGCAAATTTTCTCAAAGCAAAAACTGGAGTGGGAGGGAGAGAGAGGACAAGAAAGAGGGGCCGATGAGGGTGGTGGGACCGGTCATAATGCTGTACGTATGTCGTGGGGTCAGACGTTGGTTTATAATCTCGCTCAGAGGTTCAATGGCAATCAAGGCAACATAAGCACTTCCGCGCCCTAACCCTCACGCTAGGCTTACCCAATATGAACTGGCCAGGAACGTGTTTGATAAAACAATTTCCTTCCCTTCACTTATACGAATAACGCTTCAATTCCCTTGAGGATATCATAAGACCAGTGCTCTGTTCCTAAATAATACTGGTTATTTAATATTTATTTGTGTTTTTTGCATTTTTTGTTTTGGAAGGCTCTTGCTTTTTGTCATTATTTTTGTTTACTTGGTATTTATTTTTTATATCTACCTTTGTTTACTTGCTTTAAGCTATCCCTATTCATTGCTGCCCGAATCAAGTATGTGATACACAGGTGACCACTCATAGTAACTCGCTATATCACCCACCACTAGACAAACCCCACTCCCCGCCCCGGGATCCCCTAACCCCTGACCACTAATGGCTAAAAAATAAGGGTCTGTCTCGACAGGACCGTCCCGTTCCGTTCGCCCATACAAATTGCCTTACGGTTCCGTTCGCGACCGGCCATTTTGTATGGGTGAACGGAGCGGAACGGTCGTTGCCAAACAGGCCCTAAGTAACAAGATCCCCGCTGCCGCAGGCTGGACCCAAAGTTTGCACAGTTCGACTTTATACCAAATGGAAACTAGTGACTTCGGCACTCGACTAGCTCAATTCACCGCACGCTAGCCTCCACGACCAACCTAGTCTTACTCTCGCTTGATTGGAAAATATTCGGAAACCAAGTTCCCCGGCATGCTGAACATGCAGCCAGACATTTCGTTTACTTTCATAGCGGTGGTTATGCCTGAGCACATCGCGTTGACCTTGGGTACAGGATCAGGCTCTGCCCAGCTTTGCCGTGGGCCCACCCTGACGGGAACCTGTTGCTTCTGAACCCATCTAAGGTTAATGGTCCATATCTGCTCGGTCGACACCGTGGACCGTTAAACCGTGATCTCTCACGGCTAGCGGCGTACGGTGTACGATGGTTCTAAATCTCGTAGGTTGCCTTGCCGTTTATGCTTTTAAATGTGGATGGGGGAAGACCATAGCATCAGCTAAATGGCAAAGCGGTGAAACCAAACGCCACGATCTCACACACGAAAAACCGCACGACACAGAAGCAGGAAAGTTGTCTTCCTCGTCATCCACCGACTCCCTCAACTAACTAACTGTAAGGACAGGAGTTTATATCAATAGGAAACCAAGTCCTGCTATCCTTCTGCGGGCTACGACACCTGTCCATGGTATTGCTCTTGTTCCTCCTGCGCCACTTGTTCTGAATCCTGTGCCCACAAAGGAAAGACAAACACCTACCGTCCACACCTTCCGGACATGCGACCCACCGGCCTTTCCACTTTCTCTCCGGCGAATGCACCGATCCAAAACCTCTGCCCATTCCTACATCCGAAATTCTCACCCGAAAGCCAGGGTATGTCCCCAAAACATCCAGGCAGCCAAAGCCCGTTCCCAAAAACTATCCAAGAACAAAACATCATAATAGCATGCTGACCGGACATGGAAATTTCCAACATATGCCAGTGTAGCTATCTGTGCGCACTACTCGGATGTACGCAATTGCACTCGTTTCTTTCTTCCAACGATCCCCACTCAGATTGCTTACTCTCGCGCTATGCATACGAAGCAGATCGAGGATACCACGGAACCTGCAAGAGCGGCGGATCCTCTCCCTTCCTTGTGTACGTGGAGCGGTTATTGCCTCTCAAAAAAAACAAAGGAGAATCCCGCTTCCTGCCCCTCTTCGTATCTCCATGTGCTCGACAATGCGATCCAACTCCCACGTGGCGGCACAATATCCTAAGCAAGCTCAATAATAGCAGGCGGACCCCTGGGCGAGGCCGATGGAATTGTGCACGGCCTCCGAGATGGCGAACTCGCCGTTACTGATGGTGCAACCGTCATGTGTGAAAGTTGTTGGCACTTTGCTGCTGTTACAGGCGCTGGCTTACTTTTTCATGGCGCCATTATCGAAGCCCGCGATCTAGACGTGTGAATGTCGGCTGAGGACATGTACGGCCTGCAAACTGCGGCCTCCACCAATAACCGGTTCACGATATTCCCTTTCGTTTTCGAATATCGATCATCCTACGACATCCTCGCCAGATTTGATTGCCTAAGAATAAATGGTGAAACCTTACACCGCCTTACAGGTTATTTCTTTGCGAGCCACTGGCCGATAACCACCATGGGCGATCTGGTGCTGTCTAAAGGCATCGTGTGGGTTATCAGGGAGAAGCCACAATAGTTTGATGGCATCAAATTTGTTGTCAGGTGGATGCGGAGTAAGGGTCACCGCCCTCGTGGGTTCGGGCAAGAGGACAGGAACGCACTAGAGGAGTATCTAGTAGAGGTGAACAATAGCGAGGGGAGAAGGCAGTGGGCGGCCATTTGTACCCGTTAAGAGTAGGGTACAAAGCTTTCTCGTTCTTTTCTGTTGTTGTATCTTACTTTTTCAGTATGCTAAAAACATGATGAGTTTTAAGATTACTACCCTCCCTTTAGCTACCCGGTATTTGTAGAAACCATGAAACAGCCCTCGGCCCTTCAACTGTGTAACAGCCCATTCAGACTAGATTTCAATATAGCATCTTTATGTAACCTCGTTGCTCCGAACTGCTATATACCAACCGAACCTCTCAAGGACAACGAAATATCACTGCCATGATCGAGATACCCCACGGGGAGCCTCCTCCGTGGTGGGGGTATCAGCCTAGATCCTCCTTATTTTTTGCCACAGGCCACGTATCGCATGACCTATCTGCATTAGTTTCAGTCGGTATCTCCAGGGGAAGTACGATATCTACCGATTTGATTTTGAATTCTATACTGAATCTTAGATTACAGAGCAACCCGCTGGTCGGTAAGATAGCAGCCGTACACAAAAGGGTGGAATAGAGAAGGAACTTACTCATGGCTAATCCCAGTAGGTGTCTGATGTAGGGTCTCAGAGTCACGTTTTGATCCCTGTACTAAAGTCCATCCCTCGTGGATATCACTCGAAAGTCTCAAGACACGTTGCTGGGCTGCCTGAATGTCCGTTGACCAGCCAGATATCGTTCCGCTCCGCCGACCATTTGGGGAAACCGACTCCCCGAGGACTGCTCCTGGATCTACACCTTCACCCAGTGCTGGTATTGGTTCCTGTGATGTTCTTTGTGACACGTAGGCACCCATGAGATCGACCCTCAATATATGCCGGTCCTCAAACACCTCAGAGCAATGGGTTGGTGATCTTGAACTAATCGGAGCACTTGTTCGGGCTGCTGGGTAGTGCGGTGCTTTGCTGTTGGTGCCCCCATTTCGGCAGTGTCCGTGAATGAAGGAGATTTTTGAGATCGGCAGAGTACAAGATAAAATAAGTGGTCTTATTAGCTGCGCTGAGTCGGCGTTCGCCGGTCGCCCGCCCTGATGGGGCCAGAAATGTTTCTACTGTCAACTTTGAAATAGTGGCAAGTTTGGGACGAGCCTGGTACCTAGCACCCGACAAATCGTGATATGATGGCAAGGATCTGAGATCCTGCTATCTAAACCCTGAGTTATCCGATTGATCACAGAGGTGTAGTAAGGTGAGTCCGGATTCCGCTGAATAGGGCACCCGTGAGGTGAGAGGAGACAAAACCTGCTATGCTTCGTCCACTTCACCCAAGGGGGCAGCTAGTATGATAGGGGGTTTGGTTAGTTATGGGTAAGGTTTTCATTGCCTGCTCAAGCACACACCCTCCTCTGGTTGCCCCGCGTAAGGCCGGCTTCGGGCGCCACCTCCCCCCCTATAACACTTATCTCTCGGACCATAGGCGTCACTAGTTTCCAGACTCAATACCTCCCATAACGTCTAAATTAAATACCACCACACCGATTCACTGAGGAGTGCGCTGATTAAGCTGTCCCAACTGCGACGATTCGATGATCCAGATCCTCAAACTGCAATGTCGGTAAAACTGACGACCAAATCTGGGGGAACTGACTGCAACGAAAATAAACCTGAAGGTGCCGACCCCGTTCAGCCAGCTATGGCCCTGCTCAGCCCACCAAGGAGCCTGGGACTTCACCTTTGGGCGCTTTAAAAAGCCTCTCGACGACTGGGAAGAAGGACTCGAAGTCATATTTGCCTATGGAATAGAATAGCAATTTCAGATGCAGGAAGGGTGGTTTCCTTTAGAGTTGAATGGCGTATTACCGTGGCGTAGTTATTCATCAGGAAACAGAATATGTGTATTGGCCAGCCGTTGGGGTTGCGAGTCTTGGCAACAGTCGTAGCTCTTGTGGAAACCTGTTGGTGCAGCCGTTGATTCTGTTACTGTTTTACTTGTCTATCCTGCATTAGTTCTTGTTTCTGTTTCATCTCATCAACAACATCTGGGACACTCCGGTTACCGACTATCAGTAGCCTGTATCATGTGGAGGAAAAGTTTTCCTAGTCGTCTTTCTTGTCTTATTATCTTCCTAGCATAAAAGCACAATATTTTCCTTATTAATTTATGCGAATCAATCAGTCTTTCACTTATCAGTATTATCACTCTCTTATTTTGTCTTTATAAGTCAATTTCCAATTGCTCCTTCGTCATACCAAAACAAAAGCTCTCAACTGTGGAATTGTGGACAAGGCCATTCTCAAGGATATCTGGTGAGGACGAAGGGCTACCACGGGGGAGTGGGACACGATCGGGTAAGATATCAGTCTGCAGTATCTGGGGGGGGCGGTCTAGTATGAGACTGATTGCATAAGTTTATAAAAGCACGAGTGATCGAACCGAGAGATAAACCGAGGAATAAGGAAAAAGAAAATAGTGCGATTAATCACCTTCCCTATTGTAAATCGTACTCGAAGGTGTCTCGTTCGGCGCAGTGAAAGCTCTTTACTGGTTTCAATGTCTCGTATTCGGTTCTGTATCAATGTCTGCCGTGCTACTTCCTCCTCCGATAACTATCTGCCCTTATATACATTGACAATAAGAGAAAATTCCTTGCGGTCTCCAAATAGACTCCTGGTAACCCCTCTTTTACCCCGCTTCCTGTTTCCATGAACATCTCTCAACTTCTCTTTTACCCCTCTTTTGTCAACCAATCATACTCTTCCATATTCCCACATGTTACATATTTCCTTGTCTCCTGAGGAGACTTACTAGTACATCAGTACATGCCTTTGCAGAGAAAAACCGAGAACCTTCCATCCTGCTGATAAATGAAAACCCCATAAGCATTACAAACACGAAACCAATACTAACTTGAGGGACTTCTTTGTTGTAATTTGTATAATATAGTCTGTATGATCTCGTACGCAGAAGGTTCCTCGATCTTGGTTTCGTCTTTTATCGGCCTCTCTATATTCGTACTTTGTATCTATAGCCGTGCTTGCTACCCGTGTCTGCTGCCCTTATTTTTTTTCTCACTTCCTTCCTGTATCCTTATGCCTTTATATACACAGCAGATAGAAGGAAAATTCTGCTTGTCCTCCAAACATGATCACACTATTCCCGCTCTTACCCCTCTTTTAACTATCTCCTTGTGTTTCTTCCATCTTCTATCCTACCCCGCATTGTATAACCAATCATCCTTTCTATAATCTCCTCGTGCACTACCATTTCACTTGACCCCCCCGCTGGCTGCATACCAAGGTGGTCTAGAACCTCCTACCCCGCTTGACAAATAACAAACTCATAAGCATTACAAATAAGAAATCAATGCTAGCTGTGGGGGTCTCGAATATCCCTCAATTAACCTTAGTAGGAGTACCGGCGATTTACAACATTCTTCACTACCCCGCAATCCCGATAGGTAATCGCGATAGGACCATTACCCAGAGTACCGGTGATTTGCAATATTCCCCACTATGCGAATTCTAAAATTTCCCTGAGAAACGTTTCAACGGAAAACTCCCCCGAAATCTAATCCCCCGTCCTCATGGTACTACTCCATGGCTCCTGGCGAACCCTTAGATAATAGCTTTGATCAAATCGTCGTATTCCTGGATCTGTGGGGGTCGAGCCAGCTTTAGGGGCGACAACTAGGCCACTGAGAGTGCTAGAAGTTTGGAAGCGAGGGTCACGGGATTCCGAGGGCAGGTGGTGGGGGCCACGGAATGTCCAGAACCATACCAGCCGTATAAAAAGACAAGCAGTTAGCGAGGATATGATACTCTAGCAAAGGATTTGGTCTCACTAGATTGAAACGGATTGGGTCCCCAAATCAAATAGGGCTTTTGCTATGAAAGGAAAAAGGAAATATTGTGGGACGGGGGGGAATATGGTGTTTGAGATTAAGTGATGATATTTTAGTGGACCTTTGACGGAGTGTGGGAAAACGGGGGATGTGAAGATTCTGTTCCTCCCCCAGATGATAGGGTTGTCAGCATACTGTGTAAACCCGTTAAGTCCAGCACGGGTGACCCCAACCGAAATGACTATCCAATCACAACCGGATCAGCTCCGCATGTTAGCAAAATTCCGAATACACCCTGCAGTAGAAAAGAATCGGAAAATGGGGATACGAAGTGTCCATGCATAGTCTGCGCAAAGTCCGTGCAGAACAAGGGCCCCGATTGGTGATAGGGACCCTCATAGAACCTGATTGACTTCAAGTCACAATGGCAAGTATCAAAACAGGCGAGGGTAGCTACGAACAGTGATGTGTAATACATGCCCTGAAGTTTTCAGCTGAATAGAGCTTTGAATGAATTGCAGAAAATGATCACCTTTCAGCATGGACTGTTTGGCACATATGGCTGAGCCCCATGTGGCAACAGCCAGTAGCATTGGCTACTTTGGATACTGAGCACCACCATAGGTCATTCCTCAACATTGCTCCAGAACTTGCAATTGAGGCCAGTAAGAAGATTGTCTAGAATACAGTTGCAAAGGGAGGCTGCTACTACCGATCGGCCTCCAAGAGGCCATGTCTATTGTAAATCACCGGTACCCACAGTAATAGTGCTATTGTTATCAACCCCACGATTGCGGGGTATTGGAGATCTCTCCGGAGCTAGAATTGTTTTCCTTTGTAATGCTTATGAGTTGTTCATTTGTCAGTGATTCAGAAGGTTCTGGAGCTTCTACAAAAAAGCTTATGTACTAGGAAGCACGGTTGGGAGACAAGGAAACTTGTAGCATGTGGGGATTGGAGGACATAGGATTGGTTGACAGGAGCGGGGTAAAAAGAAGTTGGGAGAAGTCCAACGAAACGTTAA